GGGGGGCACGCCTGGCTCTCGCTGGATGAGCACTGCCACCTGCACTACGAGATCTCGGTGGCGGGGCTGGGACGCCCGAGCGACGGCACCGTCAGTGCCCACATCCATGGGGTGGCTGAGCTGGGGGAGATGGGCACCCGCCCCCACCAGCACAAGCGCCTGCTCAAGGGCTTCTACAGCACTGAGGTGAGGTGGGAACCCGGTCAGGGCAGCACACAGCAGGGGCTGGGCCAGACCTTATCCCCACCCTGCTGCCCCTCTTGCCATGACAGGCTCAGGGGGTGGTGAAGGACCTGGATGCCGACCTGCTGCAGCACCTGGCCCAGGGCACTGCTTTCCTGCAAGTCAGCACCAAAGCACACCCCAATGGGGAGATGCGGGGACGGGTAGGTCCTTGTCGGGGCAGGGCACCCCTACCCATCTCCACTGCTGCCTGCAGCCAGGTGGCACTGCCTGCAGCAGGGTGGAAGGGCACAGGATCACTCTGTTATAAGGTCCCAGCAGTACAGCCTGATGTGTTTCGTGGTCATGGGTGGTTCCTTCACCAGCCCTGACCATGAAGGGCAGCCAGGCATTGGAATGGGAAGTGACCTCTTGCTCATTGCCCCCTCCAGGTGCACATTCCCAACCAGTGCCATGCAGGAGGGACCCGCCTGGCACCAGGGGAGTCCCTGGGGCAGGCTGAGCTCTCTGAGAGCACCAAGACCAGGGACCTGGAGCAGCTAAAGAAGGACCCCAACTCCTGCTTCTTTGAGGGTCAGCACCGGGCACATGGCACCCGCTGGGCACCTGACTATGACAAGAAGTGCTCCATCTGCAGCTGCCAGGTACAAGCTGGGGGTTGTGCTGAAGGGGCAGCAATCACCAGTAGGGCCCCTCTGTAATGAGCTCCATCCCTGCTGTCCCCAGAAGCGCACAGTGATCTGCGACCCCATCTTGTGCCAGCCCCTCAACTGTACCCACCAGGTGCATCCCGAAGAGCTGTGCTGCCCCATCTGTGAAGGTACCTGGGGGATGGGCTGGGTGGGGATCCCTCTCAGAGACTGCTGTTGGCATCATGTGCACCCCTTCATGGCCTTCCTCTGCCTTGTAGAGAAGAAGACAGAGCAGGAAGAGTTGAAGCTGGAGCGGGCACGAGACAGTAGCGAGGGTGAGTCCTTGTGGGCATGGGCTGAGAAGGCAGCTCTGCAAAGGCTGAGTCACAAGGACTGTGACTTACTCTTCTTTTTCCTCTCCCAGGCTGCTACTTCGATGGTGACAAGACATGGCGAGGCTCTGGCACTCGCTGGCACCCTGTCGTGCCCCCATTTGGCCTCATCAAATGTGCCATTTGTACCTGCAAGGTGGGTGTGGGTTCCAGACTTGCTCCCCAGCCTGGTCTGGCACCTATTGTTGCTCTCAGTTCCCAGTTCCCACTGGGCTCAAACCAGGGCATGGAGAGCTGACTGCCCTGTGCCTCCTGTGAGCCCCGTGCCCTCCCTGCAGGGTACCACAGGTGAAGTGCACTGCGAGAAGGTGCAGTGCCCACGGCTCACCTGTGCCAACCCCGTGCGTGCCAGCCCCTCTGACTGCTGCAAGCAGTGCCCAGGTACCTGCACCTCTCTTCTGCCCTGTGTTCTCCATGCATAGCACCTGTGTGCCCCCATTGGAAATGCCACAGGCTGCCCTGCCACAGGCAGCCATCCTCCCAGTTCCATTTCCTGCAGCCCCAGAGAAGAGTGTCCCGGAGCTGGCTGACTCCATGCAGGCAGATGCACCGCGGGCGTGCCGCTTCGGGCGCCGCTGGTACCTCAACAATGAGAGCTGGCACCCGTCTGTGCCCCCCTTTGGAGAAATGAAGTGTATCCTGTGCTGGTGTGTGGTGAGTGTGCCAGCCTGGGCCAGCACCAGGGGAGTGGAAGGCACCACTATGCCCAGTCCCCAGGGCTTTGGGAATGGGTGGGAGAGCAGCACCCTGGACACCCACAGCACCCCGAGGAGCTGCTGCCCCCACACCCCGCTGCTCAGCCTCTCTTTCTGCTCCCTAGTCAGGGGAGACGCACTGCCAGCGCCAGGAGTGCCCCCCATCCGCCTGCGCTAGCCCTGCCACGCGGGACAACCCCTGCTGTGCCAAGTGCCGTGGTAAGTGCAGTGCTCACGCATAGGCACCGCTGCCCAAACACTCTGTGGCAGCCCCTGCACATCCCAGTCTCCCTGGTGCTGAGCCAAGGCTGGCACAACCACCCCAAGTGCCCTCCCGGCACCCACTGTGCCCATCTCTCAGCCCTGCTTTTCCCCTCCCAGCCCTGGATGCCCCCTCAGATGCACGGGAGAAGGTCCACGACGCCAAGGTGGAGTCACGGAGCCACTGAGCAGTGACTGCTGCCCAGAGCGGGGCAAGCACACAGCGACGCTGGGTGGCATGGGGGGGCCCCACTACTTATTGCCCCTGCCTGTGCTGGGCAGGGGGCACAGAGGAGCACAGTGGGGTGCACATGGCCAGGCCCCCAGCCTGGGCACCCCATCTCAGCACGACTGCAATGCCAGGACCGCCCTACCCACTCACGCCAGTGGGCAACAGCCGGGCTCACGGAGGTTGGGGCACCCGCTGCCCTGCCGCTCCAAGCCCCCCTGGCCAGCGGGCATTGTGCCCATGGTGTACATAGTGTAAAGTCCCTCTGGCTCCTATTTGCTGCACTCACCCTGTCTCGGCCGGGTTTCTCACATAATTTATGGTGCCAGTGGATGGGAGTCAAGATGTATTTATTAAAACCAGAGCTATTGCCCTCCTGGTTCCTGTCTCTTCCTAGCGGTAACAGGCACAGGGCTGTGCCCCTACAGCCCATGGGGAACATGCAGGCCTTGACATTGCTGGGGTTGGGGATGGATATTTGGGGATATGGGGTGTGAAAGCCAATGCCAGGATGAGGACACCCCTATGGGCTGGGGGTGGCACTGGAGAAGACCAGTGTACAGTGCCCACAGCTGGAGCCATGATGCCAACCTCTGCCCACAGTGGAGGCTGCCAACACAGTGCTTGGCAATGGTGCCCACTAGCACAGGGACAGCAGGAGTCTGTTCCCCACACCTCCATGGTGGCACAAAGAGCCCAGCCTGGGGCCCCAGTCCAGCTGCCACCCATGGAGGCCCTTGTCCTGCAGCACCCATAACCAGCCACGTGCCCAGGGCTGGGCACAGCCACCCATGGTTGTGCAGGGCAGAGCCCTGTGCGTGCTCTGGGGCAGTACAACCCCCCAGTACAGCTGCACTGGACTAAGGCCTCATGGGGCCCATGGGATACCCCATGCTGCCACCTGCACTTTGATCCTAATGCAGAGGACTGAGGGATCTCTGGGGCCATTTTTACTGTGCTGGTATGCACTGGGATGACTGGGACAGTCAGAGCTATGCTGGGCCGTATTGGAACAGTGCCAGAGCTGTAGGGAGAGTAACACTGGGCTCTACTGGGATGGCAGTAAGGCACAGTGGCACAGCCACAACACTGTAGTGGGACAGTGTTAGCCAATACTGGGGCTGCAACCAAGGTGGCACTAGGCTAGACTGGAGTGGTGGTAGAGCCATAGAAGGATGGCACTGGGGCGCACTGGGCTGGGACAGAGCCCTGCATGCTAAGCTGGGTGTCCTGCCCAGCATGCACCCACAGCCACGCAGGCACCTGTGCCAGCAGGGTCACATCACCTGTGCTGGCCTTGCAGTGTGCTGGTGGCCCACAGCCAGGCACGCTGGTGGCAGTGGGCAGAGCATGTATCCTGGCACAGGGCTTCCCCTCCGGATGAACATCCCTGCTGCCATGGGGCAGTGCCAGGAGCTGACGAGCAAGGAGGGAGCTCCGTGCCTGGAGATACAATGAGTGAGCAACCCATTTTGTCACCTCCCTGCCTCAAACTGGTTCATGTTGGGCAATAAACCCTCCCAGACTGGCACAGGACATATCCCAGCCCCCAGCCCAGCCATCGTCACCCACCCTTGGGGGTGCCAACGTCAAACCAGAGGGTGGCACCTGGGCAGTGAGAACTAGCCCGTTCCTGATCCCGCAGCACCAGCCCAGCAGTGCCACAGCTCTGGCTTTCCCTGCACCCAGTTCTTGCCACAAAGGTGCAATCCTGTGCCCTGGGGAGGAGGGTGAGTGCGGCTCTGCCAGCTGCCTTGGTTGCCCCTGAGCCTGTGTCGGTGGTGAGACTGAGGTGCCGGCAGCCAGCCTGCCATGCCGGAGTGCCTTGCCCACGGATTGCCGGTGCCAAGCTCTACCCGTGTGCCTCTTTGGAGAGGATTGAGCCTCTACTGCCCAGCGAGTTCAGCAACGAAGAGTGGAGCCCACCTCTCTCCCTGGGAGCTGACAGTCCCGGGACACTGAGCAGCATCACGGTAAGGATGAGCTCCCTGACAGCTTTGCGGTGGTGAAGTCCCTGCAGTGCCAAGGTGCTCTGCCCTCCTTGGGCATTGACAGGTGCCCCCATGCCCTTCATGACAAGACAGACCTCAGGCACTATGCCCCCACCAATCTGTCCCCCAGCCAGGCATGGCCATGAGCCTGGAGGTGACCGTCTGCAGAGTCCCAGCACGGTCCTCCCACACCTCACCAGGGGGAACCCACAGGGGAGCAGCGCCCAGCCCCACGCCAACCCCTTGTACCTGTGGGAAGAGGGAGCAACGTGTCCCGGGGGAAGTTGGCCCTGGGTCACGTCACCCACGCCAGCTCTTACCCTCACCTGCACCCACTGGTTGCCCACGGGTGCCATCCCGGGCAAAGGCCACGGTGGACGGGGTCCCGCCATAGGACAGAGTTTCCGGCCGGACTCCCCTTGACCCAGCCGGGGACTGGGTGCCCAGCGCCGCCGGTGCCGGTACCGGGCGCCGCCGGTGCCGGGCGCTGCCGGCGGAGGCGGAGCGCGGCCGATCCCTCCCCCGGGCAGTGCCCCGGGCCCGCCCCGCGCGGTCCGGGAGGAGCCGCGGCCGCCGCGGGCACCGGCAGCGGCACCGGCACCGGGACGGCGCGGAGCGGAGCGGCGGCAGCGGCGGCACCATGGCCTCCGAGAGCGAGGCGCAGCGAGCGCTGCAGTATGAGCAGACACTGGTGAGTACCGGGGGCACCGGGCGGGCACCGGGCACCGGTGTGGCACAGGACGCGACGGGGCGCGCTGGAACACCCGGGGATTTGGGGGGTCTGGGGGTGCTGCCCTGCTCAGGGAGGCAGAACTCCGCCCTGTTAGGGGTGCTGTCTCCTGTTTGGGATGTCGCCCCCAGCCCCCCCTCCAGCTGTGGAGAAGCCTAGCTGAGCCCCCACCCCCAGGGCAGGACTTCGGCACACACCTCACCAGCCCCTGGCAACACCCCTCCTCACTGCGAAGGGATGCCCACCCTGTGGGAGCTCCCAGAGGCGCCAGCCGGGCACACTTCTCTCCCCCACACGGCGTGTCCCCGGCCCTCTGCCCCCAAGATAAGGTATCTCCCCTGCCTGCAACCTTAGCCCCATGTTTACAACTCCTTTTCCTCAGAGGCCTCCCCACTGGCACCAGGGTGTCCCATTGTCCTGGGCTGTCCTCCTTCCCCGCTGCGTCCTCAGTCACTCCGCTGCTCTCCGCTGCCCGCGGCCCTCAAACATCACGGGCAAAGGTGCTTTTCCCCAGCCTCTGCTTGGGACGGTGCCCAAGGCGGACGGTACTTTGCCCTGGCATTTGGACAGGCAGGGCCAGGGAGGTGCGCAGGGAAGCAGGGACTGCGTGGCCACACAGTTGTCGTGCCCACGGCTGCCCAAGAGAGCCTGAGCCGGTTTCTGTGCGTGAAGCGGGCCCTGCTGAGCCTTACCCACCCAGCATGGGCTCACGGGGCAGCATCAGGGCACTGCTGCTCTGTGTACCCTCATCTCGCCTTTCCCAGCGCCCAAACCCTTCTTCTGGTGCTGCCCCTCGGTGCTCAGCCCAAGCTGCCCCTGTGCCGCTGTCAGGTGGCTGCAGGACACCAGCTGGCCACGGGAGCCCCGGCTGCGCCGTCATCTCCAGACCTTGTTGACCCCACACTCCTTCCCGGCAGGGCTGAGTCAGGGAGCAGTCGGGGGCAGGAACAGGGGTGAGCTGTGGCCGTGCCTCTCCCTGCCGCCAGCTCCGGACGGCCCCCCTGGGCGGCCTGGTCACGGTGGGTGAGCAGAGAGGCCATCCCAGCCGGGCACCGCGGGGCGGAGGAGCCTGCGGGCAGGCATGAGGGGAGAGGCACGCTGGGCTGGCATCAGGGCAGCCATGCTCGGCACCAGCAGACTTTGCCCTCCTTCTCTTTGGGCAGGATAGCACCCACGTCCTGAGTGCTCCGTGGTGCCCATCCCCATGGCCTCTGGGCTCAGAGAGGCTCATGGAAGTGCCTGGGGATGCTGGGTGAGGCTGGGTGTGGGCTCCTGTCCCATAGCCTCACACCTGCGTTTTGGGAGCTGCCTGGGCACGTGCTGGGCAGGAGGCATGCCCAGCCCTCCCCGGTGCATCTAAGCCACCACTAGCTCCTGCCAGCACCTGCCAGGAGGGTCAGGATCCAGCTGGAGCCTGACATGGGCTGGTCTGAGCTGGGCAGTCCAGGGACAGCTCTTGCTGCTTGTGCCCATAGACAGGCCATCACAGCCAGGCTGCAGGGTTGTGCCAACCATGTCCAAAGGCCTGTGTCCCTGCTCCATGCCCTTCCTCTCCCCAGATTTCAACAGCCCTGGGATGCCATGGGTCTTGGGACCCCAGACCTAAAGGTCTCCCCAGGTATCCCACCCTGGGGTCTCCATGCTGAAGAAGTGTCTGTGGGAACCCGTGGCATGCCAAGGGTGCTGGGGTGCACATCAGCCTCAGTGCCCCCCACATGCCAGGCTCTTGTGGCAGGGAGCAACGGGCCCCATGGGGGGGGATTAAGCTTGACAAACTGCCCTTGTTCATTGCAGAGCTGCTCAGGGTGATTAGAGACTGGCTAAGACGGGCAGCGTGACACACACCCCCTGGCCCCTGCCTGCCTGCTGCCAGCCCAGAGGAACCCACAACCCCTTGCCTTTAAATATGTCCCCTAAGGGAAATTTGGGGGGGAAGGTTGGCTGGTATTGGCCATGAGGAGGTGGGCACCACTCCCAAGCAAGCTCAGTGCTGTGGGACAGGCTGGCACGGGGACACGGCAGCACCAGATGCCAGTTCCCCTCCCAGGCACAGCATTGCCCAGGCACTGCAGGCACCATGGGCTGGCAGTGCCCAAGGGGCTGTGGCACAGCCAGTGCCTGCAGTGCCCGAGCCCAGGACCAACACAGTGGCCTTGGCCCGTGCCCGTGTCCCCGAGTGCCCCCCACCAGCCCCCCCTGTGCCCGCTCCCTGCCCGCCCGGCACTGTGATTGTTCAGCTGCTTCACGGCAGAGGCCGGAGTCCCGGGGCTGTTTGTGTTTCAAAAGGCCTTTGTGGAAAAATAACCCAAGCAGAGGAGGAGGAGGAGGAGGAAGGAGAGAGCCCACCGCTGGCCTTCACAGCCATGCTAGGGCTGCGGGCACAGTAGCTGTGGCTGCTCAGCACTGGACACCCGTGGGGGTCCCATGTCCTGCTTGTGGGGCTGTGGCATGGGGCAGAGGGGTGGCATTGGATGGCACGGGGTGGCAGGTGGCAGCAGGGTGGCATGGCCTCTTTGCTTGCATCCCTGTTGTTACAAGTGGGGTTGGCTCCAAAGTGGGGCAGAGGGAGAGCAAATCCCACCACCATCAACCAGGCTGGAGCCCCTGGGACTGCACACCCCACCGTGTGTCCCAACACCTGGAGTGGTAGTGTGGCAGCCCCTGGCACAGCCCCAAGAGGTAGACACAGAGCTGGTTTGGGGGGCACTCAGCCTGGGGGTGCTTCCATCTTGGTTTGGGCTGGCCGTGGGTCAGCAGTGGGGCCAGGCAGGCAAGTGCTTGGCAGAGTGACAGCACTCCTGGGGTGCCGGCCCATTTCATCTTCCAGAGCAAACAAGCTTTTTCTGAAGGGAGCCTTTGAAATCAAGACCCCATGCAGGGCCGGGGTCGTCGTCTGGCAGCCAATGCTGGATTTGGCCCCTCAAGGTGGTTGTGCCTTTCCCCCCAGCTCTTTTCCACAGGGCAAGGAGCCACTGAGCCCATGCTGAGCAGGAGTTTGGGGGAAAATCCATGCTAGGACAGGGTCAGCAATGGAACTTAGTTCACCCTCTTCTCCCTGCCTACTTCCCCACCCTCCCTCCCACTGCTGGGCACAACCCGGGTATTAGACAGCAGGGAATCCACCCGGCGCCGCTCTGACTGCTTTCTGCTCTCTACCGAAGGGACCTGGGCAGGAGTGCTGCCCCGTGAGAAGCGCACCTTCACGCCATCCCCACGGGGAGTTGTCATGTGCCAGCAGGCCAGGGGGCTGTGAACGGTACCTGGGCATCCAGGGTGGGCACTGCCGCCAGCAGCTGGGGCTGGGCTGCCCACGTGCCGAGCACGGTGCCCACCCGTGGCGCTGCCCCTCTGCCGGGCGCTGGCACGGGCCATGCCGGGGAGGAGGGCGACTGTGCCCCGGCTGGGCAGCCACGCGCTGCGCTGGCACGGCACGGCGGGTGGGCACGCCATCAGCATGGGGCTCACGTTGTCCCGACGTGGGAGCCTGGCAGGGCCCCCACGGTCCTGAAGCCTTCCTTTGTGCCGGGCCAACCTCTGGCGCTTGGCATTCAGGTCGTGCGGGGGGGAGTGAGGCGGAAACCAAGCAACCGAGTCCTTGGCAGTGCCCGCCAGCACGGGACAAATGCCCCTGGCTCAGTGGGAAGGACGGGCACAAAGACCTCCTGGCCAGCATGAGGGGCACTGCCAGGGCCACCTCCTGCCGGTTCCAGGCCACGTGCCACAGCCAGGCAGGAGGCACCCGAGGAAAAGGGGGTGATCCCTATGTGGGCACAGAGCCACTCACACCCGTTTGATCCCTAAACCCCCTCTTCACAGCCCAGGGACCACCCTGAGCTTGATGTTGTGCTCCCCCTCTCCTGGAACTGGGGGTACATCCTGTCCCTCACTGTCCTCTTGCCTCCCTGCTGCCAGCTGAGACCAGCCAACTCATGTCACATATGACCAGCCAAGGCTGCTTTTGGAGGGGGCATCCCAGCCTTGCTCTTAGCAAAGTCAGGGTGTGGTGCCTGCAGAGTGCCAGCACAACCCCAATACCAGCCCTCAGAGAGTCTCCTGGCCAAGCTGGCCATGCTCCCATCACTGGAGGCCCTTCCCCTCCCTCCACCAGCTTAGTCCGCTGCCTGGGGCACCTGGGCAGGGCTGGAGACTGGTACCGACGTTTCAGCTGCCTGCTTTGGGCATGTGGGCAAAACAATCACTCACCATCGATCCACACTCACCTTATCTGCCTGGCTTCTTCCCACGCCCTGGAGGGCAGCCGGGCACTCCCACAGGGGCCTCCACCCCTTTGCCTCGGGATGCCATGCCTGTTCCCTCACCTGGCAGGCCATGCCAGTATGCCAACTGCTCCCCTGACTCAGTTTCCCCACTTGGGTGCAGGGGTTGGGGTGCCAGCTGCCCTGACACCGCTGCCTGCTCCTTCTCCCCCAGATGTATGGGCGTTACACGCAGGACTTGGGCACCTTCGCCAAGGATGAGGCAGCCCGGCTGCGGCTGCAGGAGGGGGACACGCCCCGGCCCCGCCGCCCCTCCGAGCTGCTGGAGTACACCCAGGGCCGCTGTGCCCCCTGTCGTGGTAAGAGTCACGGGTGGGCACAGCCCCACGATGGCACAGTCTGGACACGGCTGCCCATCCCACCACGGTGGTGCGGGTAGAATTTCTGTGGCTGTCATGGGACACCGGCGCCGAGGACAATGCCACCTGCCCGCCGGGCATCAGGGACACAATGGCCTGAAATAGCCGGGCTCGCTGCAGGGACCGGGGGGCCCCAGCCCCTCTACCTGGGGCCATGCCAGGAGGGCTGTGCTGGTGGGAGGTGCATGCCCAGTGGTGCTGTGTGTGACTGAGCAGTCAGCTGGCTGTGACAGCTGGACACATAGCAGTGCTCCAGAACCAGACAGTACCAGCTGGGTCAATGCTGCTGGTTGTGAGCCTTTCTGTTGCTGCTAGCCTGGCTCTGCCACCTCAGTGTGCCCATCCCTGGGGCATCCAGCCTTGAACCCGCCCTTGTGTCCACAGTCTGCGCCTTGCAGTGCCAGCGGTTCCTCATCTCCAAGGTGGGCGAGGACTGGGTCTTCCTCATACTGCTGGGACTGGTCATGGCACTGGTCAGCTGGGCCATGGATTTCGCCATTGCCACATGCCTCCAAGGTAAGCAGGTATCAGAGGGTTCCTGGGGCCATGGCAGGGCAGAGTGGCCGTGCCCCAGGGACATGCCATGTGCCCTGCCACCCACCACCCATCTGGCCGGCTGTTCCCACAGCTCAGAAGTGGATGTACGGGGGCCTGGACACCAACGTGCTGCTGCAGTACATGGCCTGGGTCACGTACCCCACTGTGCTCATCACCTTCTCAGCTGGCTTCACCCAGATCCTTGCCCCCCAGGCCGTGGGTAGGGCATCGAGGGTCTGCCTGCACCCTAAACAGGGTGTCCAATCCCTGGGGGTTGTGCACTGGGAGCTGCCTGGGTGTCTCCCTGGAGGTCCTGGGAGTCTTTCTAGGGATTTGGGCTGGTCTTCAGAGGGTCTGCTGGGGACTGTGGTTTGGATATCATCCTGAGCTATGGGGCTGGGGATCTCCTAAGGCCTGTGAGAGAGAGGTCTTCAGAGAGTCTCCTGTGAGTTAATGGGTGGATATCCTCCTGGGCTATGAGGCTAGGGCTAAGACCTGATCTTCAGAGGGTCTCCTGGGGGCTATGAGATTGGGGTCCCCATGGGGCTATGGGTTGAGCTGTGCCTACATCATCATGGGGCTGTTCTTGCAAATTGTAAGGTGGGAAGAGGTGTTGCTGGGATCTCCTCGTGGCAGTGGGGTGTGGCAGAGCATCAAGGGATACTCCCCAGAGCCATGGGGCAGTGTCCCACTTTATGGCTATTGGTCAAGGCTGTCTCCATGTCACCAGGCTCTGGGATCCCTGAGATGAAGACAATCCTGCGGGGTGTTGTGCTGAAGGAGTACCTCACCCTCAAGACTTTTGTGGCTAAGGTGATCGGACTGACATGTGCCCTGGGCAGTGGCATGCCCCTGGGCAAGGAGGTGAGGGCAGTGCTGGGGCAGGGCGAGCAGGGGGCCAGGGAGTGACACTGAGGGCAATGTCCTCAGTCCCCTATTGTTCTCTCAGGGTCCATTTGTCCACATCGCCAGCATGTGCGCAGCCCTGCTCAGCCGCTTCCTCTCCCTCTTTGGGGGCTTCTATGAGGTGAGCAGGGGCAGGCTGGCCCCAGGAGGATCAACCTCTGCCCACCAGCACGTTTGGCAGTGCCTAGGGTTGGGGGGGCAGTGCCCACTCACTCCTGTCTCCCTCACAGAATGAGGCAAGAAACATTGAAATGCTGGCAGCTGCCTGCGCTGTTGGTGTTGGCTGCTGCTTCGCCGCCCCCATCGGAGGTAGGGTCACCCCGGGCCTCCCCACACCCCCTACACCTCCCGCCCAGGCAGCAGGGTCCACCTGGAGAGGCAAGCAGGACCCCAGGACAGCTGGCATGGGAGAGGGCAGTGCTGCTCAGCAGGGAGGAGGAAGGGAGGAGCAGGCTCCATCCTCCCAGATGTGTAATGTCTGCTCTTGTCCTCTCCCTTGCCGCCCTGCGCTCCAGGGAGCTCCCCACTCCAGTCCCGCTGAGCCCTGCCCGTAGGTTGGTGATGTGTCTGACTCCTTGCCCTTTGCCTGCTGCCCTATCTGTCTGTCTATCTGTGTGCACCCCACTCCATCCCAGTGGCACCCCTCATCCCTGTGCTACCCTCTCGCTCATGCAGACTCGTGCTTGGCCCGCTGTGCTGTGTCCCTTGTGCCCAGCTGGCACCAGCCACGTGCTTTGCCAGGGAAGTCCTTGAACCACCCTGTAGTGTGTCCATGGGGCAGCCAGACCTCCATGGGCTGTGCACGAGTGTGGACTCAGGGTGGGAAGCATGCCAGGCACCGGGGGCCTGCCTAGGTTTCTCCACCTCCCTTGTGCACTTTCCCCCAATGCCAGGCGTCCTGTTCAGCATCGAGGTCACCTCCACCTTCTTTGCCGTCCGCAACTACTGGCGCGGCTTCTTCGCTGCCACCTTCAGTGCCTTCATCTTCCGTGTCCTTGCTGTCTGGAACAAGGATGAAGGTACCTCAGGCAGGGTGAGGGCACAGGGGTCCCCTGCCCAGCCCTACTGACCCCCACCATCCCCCAGAGACAATCACGGCACTGTTCAAAACCCGCTTCCGCCTCGACTTCCCCTTCGACCTGCAGGAGCTGCCTGCCTTTGCTGTCATCGGGTGAGTGCGACCATCCCAGCACCCATCCTGTGGCCCCAGGGGTGGCAGTGGCAGCACTGGTGGTGCTGGTGGTGGCAGCAGGACACCTCTTCCCTTGGCTCTGCCCAGGATCGCCAGCGGCTTCGGGGGCGCACTCTTTGTCTACCTCAACCGCAAGATTGTGCAGTTCATGCGCCGCCAGAAGACCATCAACCGCTTCCTCATGAAGAAGTAGGTGCCCAGCAGTCCCTAGCAGCAGGGTGGTGGACCTGGGACTGCACCAAAATCACCCCCTGCCCTGTGCTGCCCTGCCAGGCGCCTGCTCTTCCCTGCCCTGGTGACGCTGATCATCTCCACGCTGACCTTCCCACCTGGCTTTGGACAGTTCATGGCTGGCCAGGTACCTGCCATTGGGGTGGCACACCAGTCCCTACCCCAGGGCCTCCACAAGCCCCAGCTGACCCCTGCCCATCAACAGCTCACCCAGAAGGACACCTTGGTGACACTCTTTGACAACCAGACATGGGCCAAGCAGGGAATCAGTGATGAGTTCGAATACTTGGGCATCCTGGAGGCCTGGCGCCATCCCCGCTCCAACGTCTTCGTCACACTTGTTGTCTTCATCCTCATGAAGGTGGGTGCCTGCTTCCCCTGTCATTCCCAAGGTACCACCAGGAGGTTATGGAGAAGATTTTCTGGTTGCCATCAGGGAGGTGCCAGATTGTTACCAGAAAGGTGGCACCAGAAGGCACTGGGTGGCTGCTCCAGGAGTTCACCAAGGTGTTTGCTGAGTGGTGCTGGCATGCCATCAAAGAGATCTTGGCTGGGAGCCACCAGTGTGCCACCAGGGAGGTTCTGGCTGCTTGCTCCTAGGTGCCACCAGGGAGGTGCTGGCAGAGTGCCCCTGGGAGGAACCCATGCCCCATTGCAGGGTGTGGTGCCCACGTGCTGCTCCACAGCACCCAGCTGGGGGTCACAGCACGGGCAGGAGGCAGGGCTGGGTCAGGGAAGGCAACTAATGGGTGTCTGCCCCACAGTTCTGGATGTCAGCTTTGGCCACTACCATCCCAGTGCCCTGTGGAGCCTTCATGCCCGTCTTCGTCATTGGTGAGACCCTGCACGTTGTGTGAGCACAGTGGGAGGAGGGAGCCACCTCTCAGCCCACACTGGGCACCTATGGGTGCCTCCAGATGTCCCCTTCCCTGGCAGCACCAGGCAGGGGTGCGAGGCCCTGTGCCCGTTCCCAGCCACTCTTTGCCTGCAGGGGCAGCCTTTGGGCGCCTGGTGGGGGAGAGCATGGCAGCCTGGTTCCCTGATGGCATCCACACGGACAGCAACATCTACCGCATCGTGCCAGGGGGCTACGCCGTGGTGGGTAAGCACCGAGCTGGAATGGGGACACCATGGTGGGCATCGTTTGGAGATGCTGCCCCACAACTGAGGTGATGATCCCTGGAACTGGGAGTGATATCACCACTGGGGGTGAAGGGCCCCAGATGTGGTGGACGCCCTGGAGGGGGGAAGCCCGGGTAGGGACCAAGCCTGGTGGCAATACCTGACACCCCTCCCCCGTCTCCTGGCGGTGGCCGCAGGGGCAGCTGCGCTGTCAGGTGCTGTCACCCACACGGTGTCCACGGCCGTCATCGTCTTCGAGCTGACGGGGCAGATCTCGCACATCCTGCCTGTCATGATCGCTGTCATCCTGGCCAATGCTGTCGCCCAGAGCCTCCAGCCCTCCCTCTACGACAGCATCATCCGTATCAAGAAGCTTCCCTACCTCCCTGAGCTGGGATGGGGCCACCACGAGTGAGTTTGTGTCCCCTGTCCCATCCCCAAACCCCTCACCAGGCAAAAGGGGAGGGGGTGGCATTACTCTGAGGCCACTGTTCTTATCCCTGGGCAGGAAATACAACGTGCGGGTGGAGGACATCATGGTGCGGGATATCCGCTACGTCACCCTCAACTGCAAGTACCGGGACCTGCAGCAGGTCCTGCACAGCACCAAGATGAAGAACCTGCCACTGGTGGAGTCAGCTGGTGAGACACAGGCAGGGGCTCTGCCAGCATCCACAGCAGCCATGGAGTGTGCCAGGATAGGGGGTGGGTGGCAGAGGGAACATCAGGAGCCAGTGTGGTCCCTTGCTGTGTCTGGCAGAGTCCATGATCCTGCTGGGCTCCATTGAGCGGACGCAGGTGGGGGCCCTGCTCAGCAGCCAGCTCAGTCCCCAGCGCCGGCTCCTGGCACTGCGGCAGAAGGTGCTGTCCGAGGATGGGCACCGGCTCTCCGATTCCAGCATCCGCTTCCAGGTGAGGGGTGCAACCGTCTTGGGGGATGCCTGGTCAGAATGCCCCCCACCACTGTCACCCTACCACCCCATCCCCCACAGATCAGCACAGAGACCTCCTCGGGCACCCCTGCCCGCCCCGCACTCCGCAAGCCCCTGAAGCCGGCACTGAAGCGGGTGCCCAGCAGCCCAGCCGACGGCCCCCCAGGTGAGTCTGCATGCGGCCCCCTGGTCCCCCTGTGTCCCCACCACTGACACCCCCTCTCCACCCACAGCTGGCAGCGCTGACCACAGTGGCATTGCCCTCAAGAACCTCTTCTGTGCCAACGCCGCTACAGAGCCAACCGAGGTGAGAGCCTGGCCCTGCCCATCCCTTCTCATCCCTGAATGGCCTTTCCTGGCCCTGCCCAGCCCTGCCTGTTCTTTTCACATCCCTTTCATCCCTGTTCAACCCTATCTGTTGAACCCTGCCTGGAATGTCCCTTCCCATCCCTTTCCATAATTTTCTATCCCATCCCACCCCATCCCATTTCTACCCATGCCATGCCATCTAAATCTATCCCATCCAATCCCATCCCATCCATCCCATCCCATCCATCCCATCCCATCCCATCCCATCCCGTCCCATCCCGTCCCGTCCCGTCCCGTCCCGTCCCATCCCATCCCCTCCCATCCCATCCCCTCCCATCCCATCCCATCCCATCC